CCGTCTGAAAGGGAACTGGGAATCCTATTTGTGGACTTCAGTTCGGCCTTCAATACCACCATGCCTGTCCAAACTAACTCAGCTCTCCGTGCCCACCTCTGTCTGTCAGTGGATCACCAGCTTCCTGATAGACAGGCAGCAGCTAGTGAGGGTGGGCAAACTCACATCCAGGACTATCACGGTCAGCACTGGTGCTCCTCAGGCTTGTGTTCTCTCCCCACTGCTCTTCTTCCTCTACACAAATGATTGCACTTCAAAGGACCCCTCTTTCAAGCTCCTGAAGTTTGCGGATGACACTACAGTCATCGGCCTCATCAAGGAAGCAGACGAGTCTGCTTACAGACAGGAGGTTAAAGAGCTGGCTGTCTGGTGCAGTCTTAACAACCTGGAGCTTAACACGCTCAAAACTGTGGAGATGATTGTGGACTTCTCCCCCCACTCATCATCATGGACAGCACTGTGGCTGCAGTAGAGTCATTCAGATTCCTGGGCACCACTATCTCTCAGGAACTGAAGTGGGACACTCACATAGACTCTATTGCAAAAAAGGCCCAGCAGAGGTTGTACTTCCTTCGCCAGCTGAGGAAATTCAACCTGCCACAGGAGCTGCTGAAACAGTTCTACTCTGCTATCACTGAGTCTGTCCTGTGTTCATCCATAACTGTCTGGTTTGGTTCAGCTACCAAATCAGACATCAAGAGACTACAACGGACAGTCAGGACTGCTGAGAGGATTATTGGTGCCCCTCTGCCCAGCCTCCAAGATCTTTACATCTCCAGAGTGAGGAAAAGGGCTAAGAAAATCACCTTGGACCCCTCACACCCAGCCCACTCTCTCTTCGAACTGTTGCTTTCTGGTCGGCGCTACAGATCACTGACTGCCAGAACAGCCAGGCACAGTTTTTTCCTGCAGGCTATATTCAGCCTGAACAATTAAACTTTCCTAATTATACATCGTCCATCACAACTGAAATATTTATACACAGAATCCAAAATTTGTACACTTGCAAACTGCACACTTTGTAAATAACATATCTGTACATTTATTTAAACAATTATTTTTTTTTCTATACCTCCATTTGTGTATATAGGACATTATTTAATTTCTGTTTTTTTTTTTATTATTATTATATTAGTGTTATATTCCATCCCTACCATGTTATTCCTATGTATGCCTACCATGTTATTCCTATGTATGTCTGCACTATGTCTGTACTTTCTTCTGCACTGGTAGCTCCTGTCGTCAAGTCAAATTCCTTGTGTGTGTAAACATACTTGGTAATAAAGCTCTTCTGATTCTGATTCTGACATACAGTACATCAAAAGCAATCTCTGATTTTAAACAAAACAAACTGTTTTATTCTAGCTTTATTCTGTTTTATCAAAATTTGAATGTGGATAAGTTACATGAAATTGCAACATTTTGAACAAAAAGCTGAGAAAATCACTCTAAATCCGATCCGATCAAGATTCAGAGCGATGATCAAAACATAAATTGATTGGATCATGTCCATCAACACCCCCAAGCTTGCACAGAACAATGCATCTTTTTTTGTGTTTGACATTTTGTTCAGTAACTTTAAGGCAGTTTTAATTTATATTCTGTTGATTGTTTGATGATCGCGTTAGTTTAAATGTGCATAAGCAATGCTTCTATCGCTTGTTTCTGCGTTTTCTTCACTTGTTTTTGGATCTGGAGATTATGTACTGTTTCAAAAGATGGGTAATAATGCCCTCTACCATATAGCAGAGAAAACAAGAATTGCCAGAAAATTCCGTCAATGACGGTGAAGTGTTGTGTCATAAATGACAGAAAATTCCATCAGTGACGGGGAAGGAGTTAAGGTCTGCCAGATGATGTGCAATACCCAAATGAACTGTAAAAAAAATAAATAAATTTGTTAAAGCAGCTCAGCCCGTCAGCTTATACCCATGTTTACAGGCGATCATTTTATCAGAGTGAATGTCATTAACAACATCTGAACTTGAATATCCATAAATATTGCCTTTTGAGCAAGTCTTAAACGGTTGTTATGGCTTATTGGAAATAAATGGTTTAAAATAAACAATGTTACGAAAGTTAGGCATTGCTGACATTTGACATAGCAGTTGCTAGATAAGTCAAAAATGGCCGTCTCTGGGTTGGTTTTAAACCCTTTAAATCTCAGAGTTGTTTCCATCTCTGAAATGCCAGTCTGATGTTTTATAATGGGCTCAATCTGTTACTTTTCTTTTTGCTTGTAAGCTCTTCTCTGAATGAGGTTTCTTTGTTAAAACAATGGATGATTCCTCAGATGGTTGCCTTCTTGAACAATCAATCGTGTTAATGTTGCTCATTAGTTATAGCTACAAGCTGTCAGAAATATTAACACACCTCTGATTGCTCAATGTATGCGCTGTGATAGCTGGACCTTCTTCTCTTTGTTTACAGATGTGACATTACCACACAAAGATGAATGACGTAAGACTGACATGGCCTGCAAAAATCTGTCCCGACAGCTCAGATTATATATAATTATTATAAGCTCACCATTGTGAATCGGAGTAAGGCATGGATAGAATTTTGAACACTATTTTTTATTTTAAAGTGCTTGCTCAATAATTGATTCTTTTTCACTAAGATCTGTGATGCTCTGATAAAAAGGACTAGTTAACAATAATAATTTAGTACCAAAATGTTACAACCCTAATGATTTATGTGGAATTATAATGTTGTTAACATGGATGTGTTTAGAAAATACAGTACTAAAATATATTCTTAATTACAATGTAAAAACTCTGGCATTTTTCCTCTAATATATTGATTTTCTCCAATGATGCGTCTCTTCATCTAACCCCCAACTGTGTCAGTTGGTGCGTCTCCCTACGTGTCTACGTGTTTCTACTTAATGGCACTTCTCATTAATCCTGGGCCTAATGCAGCAGCAAGATCCCTATAACATGCTAAGACACTGAGCCTAGATAGATTAGGGTCCACTCCCCACTCCCAGAGCCTGATCAATACCCAGCAGCCCCCATGCTCACAGAGGGAGAGAGTCAAGACAGAGAGCCTATAGAGTTGTTAAAGGCTCGCTTTGATTATAAATGGCACTCAGGGGACAGAGGATGGCCCCTAGATAAGGTGATAAAGCGAGGGTGTAGCTTTAGATAATGTATCTGAGTCTGTGGACTTCCCTACCCACACCATCTTTCTGCACATTATTTTCCATTATGCTGCTATCGATCGGCTAGAGGTAATGGCCATTGGAATCATAACCTGAGGCATAACTACATTCCAGCGCAGGAAAAGTTGATTGGAGGAAAGGAACAGAAGCGCTGAGGAAACATTTTCTGTGCTTCGGCTTTGAAGAGGGGTTTGTATTTTTGTTTCACTAGGGACTGTAGAAAGAACAGATTTGTTTTCTCTCAGCAATTGTAGCATAACTGTAGTGGCTTGAAATTGGGATTGTGGTGTCAGGATGTTAGTTTGCTCTTTAAAATGGGATTTATTTGAAAACATGCATACATAAGTGGCCATTTAATTTGTAACCCTAGCATTCAGTGAAATGCATTTGTGTGTGTAGTTTTCTTTTGAAACAGGAAGTTGGGGTGGGACATATTGAAGAGCTTGGCCCATGACATTTAGTTTCTAGTCTCAGAGCTCATGGTTGGTCTGTCTTGAAAGGTTGATATGTTAATGTTAAAAACTATTTCTCACAAGAAAATGAATAGGATTGTTTACTTCTGGAAACCTACTGCTCTACTGGCACCTCTCTGCAACACAGACGATTAGGAAGCATGGGATACTTGGGGTTGATGGTAGGCCGTTGCTGATCCGGGCCAGATTATAGGTAGAGAAAAGAAATGTGATAATGTTAGTGTCACTGAAATAAAGATCTCTTTCCACAGTTCATCACACTCTCTCTTTCTCTGCAGTAGTACGAAGTACGAAGGGCACCTGTGTTGATTTACTGTCAAATCTTCCAGGATTATCTGTAATCCTGGAGCTTCAAAATCTGTTTGCTGACAGCTGTGTTCTCTAACAGAACTGTTGTTTGCTGTGCACATAGTGTCCTATATAGCAGCAAGAGTTCTTTCTTTAAGGGGCAAAAGAAGGAAAAAGCCTTTTAATTTTCCGCATGAGTGAATTTCAATTTACAGTTCTTCTCGGTTTGTTTTGTGTTGTATTTGGCTATAGTGCATAGCTGACTCTATATATCTTTGCCTTGGTAAATAGGCACACTATCACAGCACATCCTTTGAATGTCTTCTAATGTATTCTAGTGTAACGGGGGATTTTGCTCTTCAATAGCTATGTTATTTTTACCAATAGGTCCAGGGCATATACTGTAATTTATAAAAAAGGACTTTGACGGTGTTCCATTTGTCTTTTTTTTTTAATGCAAAAATTATATTTGTATTTTTTTTCACTTATGAATTTTATGAAATATTATGAAATGTGTAAAGTTATCATTACAAATTATTACAAATGTTCTACATTGCCATTTATTATTTGTTATTATTATTATTATTATTAATTTGTTTGTTTCTTTGATTGTTTAAAATACTATTAATTTATATTTTCTTATGATTTGATAAATATATTACATACACAGGCCACCCAGTTGTCAATATTTGGATACTTAGAATCAAAGTGATTTTAATGGATTAAGTAAATAAATACCCCTTGAGTTAGCATAACCCCAGGTGTAGTTCATGTTAATTATGAAGATGTTCCACTAGAATTTGACATGCAAAAAGTGCCCCAATATTTGTACAACCTGTTAAAAATTGATTGATAAATGTGTCTCTTTCTATAAATTAAATGCCACTTAGTTTGATATTTTGTTACAGTTTGGTTTGCTTTGTTTCTTAATATTTATAGTATGATTAGTTTAAGTTTAACTTTAGAATAGTCTAATAATAATAATGAAAAAAAATCACAATAGTAGAGGCTGCTCTGATTTTTAGTTTATCCTATATTTATTTGCAATTACCCATGATGTGTTTTTCCAATTCTAGGTGGTCTACAAAAACAACGACATACGACTGGAACTCTCTCGCCTGGCTCGCATCGCAGACCCCAAGATGAAGCTACAAGGGGACGTGGTGTTTAAATGTGAGAATGTCCCCACCCTAGACCCTATCTCCTTTGAGACACCAGAATCCTTCCTCAGCCTGCCCAAGTGGAACACCAAGCGTGTGGGCTCCATTTCCTTTGACTTTCGCACTTCAGAGCCCAACGGACTAATCCTTTTCACTCAAGGTAAGCCCCAGGACAAGAAAGATTCTCGTAGCCAGAGGAGCAACAAAGTGGACTTCTTCGCTGTGGAACTTCTAGATGGAAATCTCTATCTTCTGCTGGACATGGGATCAGGAACGATTAAAGTCAAAGCCACGCAGAGTAAGGTCAATGACGGAGCCTGGCACCATGTGGACATCCAGAGAGATGGAAGATCAGGTGAGTAGATTAATTTTCTCCAGATTACCTTACTGCTTTTTAAAAAAATTATTACAGAATAATAATAATAATTTTATATTAATATATATACACTACCGTTCAAAAGTTTGGGATCAGAACGATTTTTAATGTTTTTTACCAGCTTCCTGCTTTACCAGCTATAACGTTTTTCTATTTTAATATACATTAAAATCGAATTTATTCCTGTGATGCAAAGCTGAATTTTCAGCATCATTACTCCAGTCTTCAGTGTCACATGATCCTTCAGAAATCAATCATTCTAATATGCTGATTTATTATCAGTGCTGGGAGCTGTTGTGCTACTTAATATTTTTTTGGAACCTGTGATACTTTTTTCAGGATTCTTTGATGAATTAAAATTTAAAAAGAAGAGCATTTATTTAAAATAGAAATATTTTCTAACAATATACACTACCGTTCAAACGTTTGGGGTCAGTAAATTGTTATTCTTTCTTTCTGGCTGATGGACATTCAGCTTTGCATCACAGGAATAAATTATATTTTAAAGGATATTAAAATAGAAACCATTATTTTATATTGTAATAACATTTTGCAAGATTACAGTTTTTTTTTCTGAATTTTTGATCAAATAAATGCAGCCTTGATGAGCATAGGAGACTTCTTTAAAAAAAACATCACAAGTCTTACTGATCCCAAACTTTTGAACGGTAGTGTGTATATATATATATACAGGTGCATCTCAAAAAACTAGAATATCATGAAAAAGTTCTCTTTTTTTTGTAACTTATTTCAAAAAGTTAAACTTTCATATATTCTAGATTCATTACATGTAAAGTAAAACATTTCAAATGTTTTTTTTTATTTTTTTTTTTATTTTGATGATTAGAGCTTACAGCTCATGAAAGTCAAAAATCCAGTATCTCAAAATATTAGAATATTTACATTTGAATTTCATTAAATGACCATCCCTACAGTTTAAATTCCAGGTATCTTTGAAACCACAATAATGGGGAGGACTGCTGACTTAAAGTTGACTGGGAGGAAGAAATTGGGTAGGAAAAGGTGCACAAGCAACAGGGATGACCGCAAGCTTGAGAATACTGTCAAGCAAAGACGATTCAAACACTTGGGAGACCTTCACAAGGAGTGGACTGAAGCTGGAGGCAGTGCATCAAGAGTCACCATGCTCAGACATCTTTAGGAAAAGGGCTACCAAGCCACTTCTGAAACAGAAACATCAGAAGCATCTTATCTGGGCTAAGGAGAAAAATAACTGGGCTGTTGCTCAGTGGTCCAAAGTCCTCTTTTCAGATAAAAGTAA